CACTAATCATAGCAACATCCCAATAACCGGGATACAGACCTAACCGATCACTAACATAGCATCATCCTATAACCAGGACACCGACCTAACCAGGTCACTAAGCATAAGCATATCACCATCCTAACTACCAGGATGTAATCAATAAACATACCATGCCATAATCCAGATACAAATACATAAAGGGCCGACATTGGCGCCTTAGACCCTGTTGATATAGTGAGGATAACTCACCTCGCAAGTAGCTCGGAAGGTAGCGTCAAACTCTTCCAAAAGTAGCTCCAACTCCAACACCTATATTCACAAATGTCCTTTGCTATCAATATTCAATTTACCAAAATACCCTCAGAAGTCAACTGGTCAACCTTTGGTCAAGGTCAAAGTCAAATATCAAGGTCAACAGTCCATGTTGACCTCAACTCGTCGAATACCCTCAACTACTCGCCGAGTTCCTGACATAACTCACCAACTCCCCGAGTCACTTGAGTGACTCGTCGAGTTTCTAGTGTCAGTGGCCGCAAACCCCTTGGCCAACTCGTCGGGTTTCCCCTTACAACTCGTCGCGTTCATACGTGTCCAAAGGTTGGGAAAACCCTAGCCGACTCGCCGAGTCCAAGGCAATCTTCATCGGACTCGCCGAGTTGTTCATCCAACTCGTCGAGTATAGGACCATCTTCATGAGGCTCTTCGAGTTGACTATGCGACTCGCCGAGTCTCTTCAGACCTTCACCCATACATGTGCTTTTTAAGCCATGCAGCGGCTCCATATTGTAGATCCAACCTTTCAAAGCCTGATTATCACGTAAAGTTGCAAACTTTACGTGCATGCAAAGCTTTAAGGCCCTTAAATGACAAAACTAAGCTTGCAATGAAGTCTCACACTTGAGGGAAGGCTCATACTAGGCAAGGCTGATAACTTTATGGATCTAGAGGCCAAAGGGAGTCCAGATCTGAAGTTACAACTTCAGATCTTAGCTCAAACATAAGAAGCCTTTCATAAAACCCATCCAAAAGAGGTTAAAAGAGAGATGAGTCAAAGAAGCAGCTTAATACCTTCCAGAGAGTGACAACTGATGAATCTCTTAGCTCCCCACGAGTTCCTAGCCTTGATTTCCTTGCTTCCCCAAGTGTTTCCTCCTCCAAAATTCCTCCTCCAAGCTTGAACACACCAAAAGAACACACACACGCGATTTAGGGTTTGAGAGGGACAAGAAGCAGTAACAGGGGAGGATAGGGGAGGCCAATGATCCTTTAAATAGTGTGAAATGCCCTGAAATCTAGGGTTTCCTCTGCCAGCTCCTACTCATCGAGTCCGCTTTTGAACTCGGCGAGTAGATCACTGAAACACGCGGACCAACCCGCTACTACTCGACGAGTAGGGCGGCCAACTCGTCGAGTAGACCCAAAACCCAAAATGATTCATACAAAAATCAATACCTGAGAATCGGGGCGTTACAGTTGTGAAATTTTTTTATTTAATAATATACATTTATTTAAGTAAATAATAGCAAAATATAAAAATTATATTTAGGAGGGTAAAATAGAAAACATTTCATGTTTAACGGTGACCAAATCCACAAAGAAATATGCTCAAAAGACGTTTGTCTAAATCATTCAAAATTTGGAACAAACCCAAAAAAGAAAAAATACAAACCACAAAGACTATTTTTGCATTTCGTTAGATTTAAGGTCAGAAGAAACAACCAGATAACAAAATGAAACTATGCTTAATTTTCAAGATAATTTTGTTGAGAATTACTTTTTGAAAACTACATTAATCAATCGTTAAATTGTTTTTATAAATGATTAAATTTGGTATATTTATTTTATAGTTACTTTATTAACGTTTGGTTGAAAAAAATGTTTATGAGGAAATTCAAATCAAATTGAAATCCGAAAAAAAAAATTGAATATATGTTTTTAGTTAATTGGCTGTCAATAGTTATTATTACAAAAAAAAAATGCTAAAAGACGAAAGTAAATATGATAACTATTTATAAATAAAAAAACAATAACAATAAATAATAATATTATTAACAATGATAAATAATTATAAATATTAAAATTTTATTTAAAAAAGTAATATAAAAAATATTAAATAAAAATAATAATTATTGTTTATATAAATACCAATATTTAAATAATTAACAATAATAATAATAATAATAATAATAATAATAAGTAAATTAATTTATTAATAAAATTAAAGTATAAAATATAGTTGTTTTAACCGTAAAAACAATTGAATAAAAATATAAAGGGAAATAGATTTATTAAGGTAATGAACTTTTCGGTTTGTTCACATCTGAGTAACTATTTTCTTTGTACACATCTAGATAACAAATTTTTTGGAAGTGTTCACATATGACTATTATGACCGGCTGTAGCAGGTTACATCCGGTCATAACCGGTCATATGTGAACACTTTCAAAAAGTTCGTTACGTAGATGTGTACAAAAAAAGATAGTTATCTAGATGTGAACAAACCGAAAAGGTAAGAGTAAATTATATGAATGGTCCCTATGGTTTGGGTAATTTGTGCGTTTGGTCTCTAACTTATTCTTTAACTCGAATGATACTTACTGTTTATTTCTGTTGTGCGTTTGGTCCTGTCTTACCTCAAAAGACTATTGTGCCCTTTTTAATTTATTTTTTAATTAATTTTCTTATTTATGTATTTTTTTTATATATTAAAAAAAATTAATAGATTTCACATATTTATATCTCCCTCACCCTAAACTTGAAACCACATTTGAAAATTTTAAGCTGGGTCCCACCAGTTACTGTACCATCTCTCATCATTCTCAACTTTTATTTCTTTTCCATCTTTAGTGACATCGACGTCTTCACCATCTTTTTTTTTCGGTCATTCAACTCCGGCGAACCAACACCACAACCCTTCTATTGGGTTGTAGTGGTGGAAAATTCAATGAAGAGATAGTGGGTTGTGGGTGAGGAGATACAGATATGTGGGGTCGGTTAATTTTTTTAAATATATAAAAAATAAATACATAAATAAGAGTATTAATTAAAAAATAAATTAAAAATTGCATAATAGTCTTTTGAGGTAAGACGGGACCAAATGCTCAACAAAATAAATAATAACTATCATTCGAGTTAAAAAAATAGTTAGAGACTAAACGCACAAATTACCCAAACCATAGGGATCATTCGTGTAATTTACTCTTACTTTTTCGGTTTGTTCACATCTAGGTAACTATCTTTTTTTTGTACACATCTAGGTAACGAATTTTTTTAGAAGTGTTCACATATGACTATTATGACCGGATGTAAACAAACCAAAAAAAAAAATTAGTTATCCAGATGTGAACAAAACAAAAAGTTAATTACCTTAATAAGTCTATTTCCTAAATATAAAATAGTCTAGAGTTTATGAATTTTTATCTTTAAGTTTATGAATTTTTATCTTTTAAGTTATTTTCATTTAAAATTTTCTTATAGTATACTTGCAAAATTAGTATAGACTGAGAGTGGATAGAAACAAACGCAGACTAGGACAAGTGTAAATGTGGCCTCCTAACCTGACAACTTAAATCGTCATCTACTTTTATTTAATTCAAAGCATTTTCCATCGTACATCTTTCTAAATATGTATTATCAGTTTGTTCTTCTTTATTAACATTATTATCTTAGTTAGAAGTGCTTATAATGACACTTGTAAATGGATATTTTATTATTTTGCTACATATATAATTAATGTTATGGATACATTTAGGGAAATCGTCAGAAAAATCCCAATATTTTCAGGAAAGTTACACTTTAGTCTCAAGATTTTTTTTTTGAACATTAAAGTCCCGGTTATTTTTAAAAACACGATAATATGACATTTCCTGTTAAAAGAAAAAAAAATGATTTTTTTGTAAACTTGAGCTAAAATGAAATAATCGGGACTTTTATGTTCAAAAAAAAAATCTTAGGACTAAAATGTAACTTTCTTGAAAATATTGAGACTTTTCTGACAATTTCTCATACATTTATTATGATTTATAAAACACATTTTAAGCATGTTATGCTACATGGTTATGTCGTTATGATACTCATGCATAGTGCATACATAAAATACATGTTCTGTAAATAATAAATTATATTAAATTAAATATCTAAATTCCAAAGAAACAAACTTAGTATATAATCAAATTTAAAATGAGAGAAAATTCGATAAGAAAGAAACAAAGTTTACATTTACAGGTGGGTCGGGAGAGACTGTCTGTTTTAGAGAGAGAAAATCAAAGAGAGAATGCTGCAGCACTTGTTATGGAGGTATCTGCCATGGCCTCTCTCTCTCTCTCTTTCTCTCTCTCTCTCTCTCTCTTAACTATTCTGCTCTCTACTGTCGCTTGTGACTTCTAGTTTTGTTTTTACTTCATTTTCGTCTACCTACTTATGGCCATGATCTCACAACTCCATCTATTTTCTTATTCTAACTAATTGGTGGTGTGTTTCGTAATTTCGACAGTATCGGTGATTCTAGATGAACGATGGAGTGCTTTCTAAGGAGATTATCGACTGGTTAAATGCGTGATTAGACAGACTTGAAGCTCTGTTAATGTGTATGAATTGCGGCTTTTACCGATCAGTTTATCGTCCAAAAGAAGTTGGTGTAGAAAGTTCATAGTGTGGATTTGAGGCTACAGAATTCAGGTTGTGGAACTGGTTTTTGGTTTCGGACTTTCATCTTACTTAGGGTTTAATTGAGATACTAAATCCTCGAAGTTTGTGATATATTTTGTGATTTTACGACTTCCGACGAACTTTTAAATCTCTTCAGGTACCTCTCTTCCTTTCACATTCTTCGTATATGTGGTTTGCATTACAAGTGTATGTGCGTACTGTTTCAGTTGTGATTGGTAGGATGATTATTTATGTTGTTAATTTTTTGTACATCATTCGTTATATTCGTAGAATGTATTCGAATCTGCCTGAATTTTTTAATATTAATCTCCCTACAGCATTTACAAAGATCTAGAAAACAAGTGACAAGTATGAAAGAGGTAGAGAAGAGCGTAGACTCTCAATTATGGCATGCGTGTGCTGGTGGGCTGATTCAGATGCCATTAACGAATTCGAAGGTCTATTATTTTCCACAAGGCCATGCTGAACACACACTAACAAACGTAAATTTCAGTGCGATTCCTAGAGGAGTTCCACCTTTCATCCTTTGCAAAGTGATTGATGTGAAGTTCATGGCAGATTTAGAAACCCATGAAGTGTATGCGAAGATCAAGTTGAATCCACTTCAAAACAATATTACTACTTTCGATGATGAAGAACAAAGAAATTTTATGGAGATTCATAACCTTTCTGATCAATCCTCTGATAAAGCCTCTTCTTTTGCAAAAACCTTGACACAATCTGACGCAAACAATGGTGGAGGTTTTTCTGTCCCTAGATGCTGTGCAGAAACAATTTTCCCCCGTTTGGATTACTCATCCGATCCACCTGTTCAAACAATCATAGCTAAAGACATTCATGGTGAAATTTGGAGGTTTAGGCACATCTACAGAGGAACACCAAGGAGACATCTTTTAACCACTGGTTGGAGTACTTTTGTGAACCAAAAAAAACTAATTGCTGGTGATTCAATCGTGTTCATGAGATCAAAAAACGGAGATCTTTGTGTTGGAATTAGACGTGCTAAAAGAGGGTCTCCAGAATGCTGGAGTTCTTCATCTGGGAACAACAAGTTCATGATGATAAACAATGGAAGAAAAATGAATTATAATATTGGTGTAAGGGGAAAAGTGAAACCTGAAGATGTTATTGAAGCTACATCATTTGCAGTGAATGGGGAACCATTTGAGGTTACTTATTACCCACGTGCAAGTACACCTGAGTTTTGTGTGAAGGCTTCTTCTTTGATTGCTTCATTGCAAATTCAATGGTGTCATGGAATGAGATTCAAAATGGCTTTTGAAACAGAGGATTCTTCACGTATAAGTTGCTTCATGGGAATTGTTTCTTCTGTTCATGTTGTTGACCCTTTTCAATGGCCTAATTCTCCTTGGCGTCTACTTCAGGTAACTTAATAGTATTATGACATTAACACTTTTTTTTTACCTATTTGTCTTCCATTTTTTCTTTTCAAGATGAATAATGTAAGGGCAAAATGGTCATTTTGTCTCATTCAAAAAATGAAGCTTCCCTTTTGTCTCTCCCATCTTTTCATTAACCCTTTACCTATTTGTCCTTCCTTTTTTTCCTCTCACGTTGAAATTGATTAATGAATAATATACGGGCAAAATGGTCATTTTGTCTCATTCAAATAATCAAAAAAGAAACTTCTCCTTTGTCCCTCCCATCTTTTCATCAACCCTTTACCTATTTGTCCTTCATTTTTTCCTCTCACGTTAAAATTGATTGATGAATAATGTAAGGGCAAAATGGTCATTTTGTCTCATTCAAATAACCAAAAAAGAAACTTCTCTTTTGTCTCTCCCATCTTTTCATTAACCCTTTACCTATTTGTCTTTCATTTTCTCCTATCACCTAAAAATTGATGAATAATGTAAGGGCAAAATGGTCATTTTGTCTCATTCATGAATCATGATGCAGGTTAATTGGTATGAACCAGATTTGTTACAAAACGTGAAGAATGTAAGCCCATGGGTGGTTGAATTATTACCAAACATGCCACTCATTCATCTAACACCGTTTTCACCACACAGAAAGAAGCTAAGATTACCTCAACCACCAGATTTACATTCTGACAATGTTCCTACAAGCATACAGGGAGCCAGGCATGGTGGATTTCAGATCCCATTATCGGATCTTAATCTTACCCATAAACTACAATCGGGTCTTTTTCCTTCTTCTGATTCAGATCATGATGTGAATGATAATCATGATGACATATCATGTTTGTTGACCATTGGAACTTCTTCTACTCATTTCTTGGAGAAAAATGATAATCAGAAACAAGTAAAGACTCCTTTGTTTCTACTCTTTGGTCAACCCATTCACGTTGACTGATTTTATGTTTTGTGTAGTTGAGTTTGGAGACTTGAAATTCTTGTGTTTGCTTTTATATGTCTGGATATTATATGCATGCTCTTAAGAATCAATCTGAATCATATCTAATCATAGTAGCATTGTTATTCCTCATGATAATCAGATTAAATAATGGATATAAAGAGAGAAAATGAACATCTTTTGTTGCAAGTGTATTAACACCATTCATTTATAGTTTTATTGATGCCAATGCATTTATAGATTTTACTAACACTTACAATGGATGAATACAACCAAATCTTGTCAATTGTCTATGAAGTGTGCAAAGTCAAATAGTAAGGACTAATGAAAATGCTTTTTATTGATGACAATGCATCAGTGATTCTATTGATCTAGGTGATGCACGGGTGCTCCCAAACATGTATCACGAACTTTGTTATTGACATTTGCTCATTGATTTGTTAATAAAGTGTGGTAAAGTTAGAAATTGAAGCATTTGTTCTTGAAGACATGCAAAACGTATAAAATATTTGATTTTGAAGAAAATGTGCATATCCCACTTCAATACTTCATGCTAGACCCCACATGTGAAGTACTATTTAAAATTGGCCTAGAGCATTTTTTTTAAACTTATTTTGTCATGATATTGGTAGTATTTTTTTTTAAATGTAAATGATTTATAGTTTAAGGTCCCTGATTAATCGCCGACTGATCCCCAACTAGACAGATTAATAACTAGTTGCTAGTCGACCGACTAATCTCTAGTCACTCTTGGCCGATTTAATATCGTGAAACGAATTTTACTAACGTTATTTTTTTTTTATTAAACCCAATGTTAATTGCCTTCTATTGTTTCTTTTATCTTTTACTAAGTTTATTTTTTTATGAAACTCAAGACATTTGCTATTTGCTTTATACAAGTGTTTATGCATTAGAGCTAAAGGTTGGTACCATAGATTTTCTTTTGCATAACTTTTCACATTTGACATTCCTGATTTGAGAGAATTGCTTGGCTAAAAATTGTTGCGCTGTCTATTAAGTTTTGGAGAAATGAAAACTTCTCAAAGATTGGCGTTAGATTCAGGCGTATTTTATCCCCTTTTGAGGAAAGCTTATCCAGATCAGATATGTCTACCGGTAGAATTGGCATTCTTACTTCCTCGTGTAAATGGATCAATGAAGAACTCAATATCATGGACGGGAACAAATTATACAGGGTCGGAGTAAAGGAATATACAGAGGAGTGGCCGACTCTTCGCGATGGGTTGCTCCCGTTAATGCGCCACTCGTTGGACATTTCTCGATCGACATCTGACAATGAGTGTGAGGAGGATGATGAAGGAATATCGGAAACACTTATGATGGAGGATGACGAAGAATTAGAGATCGCAGAGGAAGGAGAACTCAGACCAAACGATAATACGTATTTCTCTGAAGATCAGAACAAAGAAAATCGAAATCATGACTGGGATGCACTAACTCCGGCGGCCACCCTCCCGGTGGTGAATCCGACAATTGCAGATGTGAACAAACCTATCGAGCTGGCGCCTAGGGAGTCCCCACCACCAGTAGTCGAATAGCCACTCTTTGAAACAGATAAACTATTTATAAGCCGGAATCTGGTAGCCCACCTCCAATTGGGCCAGGGCCTGTTAATGTGTCCATCCCTCTTGCATGTTTTGGACCATTCGCAAGTAATGTCAACCCAAACTCTAATCGGATCATACCCACTACAAATGGTGAATTTAATGTAATTACTGATGGAAGAGTTAAGCTCAGGAGGTCTGATAGAGTTGATGCCCGGTATTCACCTTACATGAAAGCTGCTTCAAATCCAAATCCATCTACTCCTCCCATCTCGGTGATGCCTATTGTCGATACCCCCTCCTTCGCTGCTCGATCTCAGGCTGCTGGGAGTGGACTGCGGTTTGGAACCGCATTGATGCCACCTGGACCGCAAACACCACCCCCTAGGTGCGGTTTCCTGCGGTTTTGGTCGCAATGTGGCTAGAAAAGACTGCATGCTATGATTGGTTGCTCCATCTTTTGACCGTTGAATGGTCCTTGCGTCCGAATTTAATTTTTTTTTACTTTACTCTATATATATATATATATATATATATATATATATATATATATATATATATATATATATATATATATATATATATATATATATACTTACCATTTTTTACTCCACATTCAACCAAAATCTTTACACGTTTACTCTCTTTTCCTCCAACTTTTTTGAAAATGTCTTCTTCCAAAAGGCCCAGCAAAGAAAAAACACCTGTCACAAACACCACAACCCCAATACCTTCATTTGATCAACCGATTTTTTCACCTCCGTATTACCACTATGGCGGTATGCTTCCGTATTTTCCACAACGACCAGCACAACCACTACCACAAACACCACCACTACCACAAACACTACCACAACCCTAATACCTTCATTTGATCAACCGATTTTTTCACCTCCGTATTACCACTATGACGGTATGCTTCTGTATTTTCCACAACGACCAGCACAACCACTACCACAAACACTACCACAACCCGACACAGATTTTAATCCATTTGATTTTTTGTCTCAACCCGAGTTTGTTCAACAAATACAAACACAACCACAAACGATCGTTTCTGATTCCGAACCAGAATTCGTTACAAAAACTCAGCCCACTCGAGCAGCAACTAAAAGAAAAGAGAAGGCGGAGGCTAAATGTTGGGAACCCCTGGAAGTGTTAGTGTTGGCACAATCTTGGATCGATATTTCAGAAGATGCAACGGTTAGAAAAGACCAAAAGCATGACCGCTTTTGGATTCGCGTTTTACATAGGTTCCATAAAGGAATGAACCGTGGAAAATACCGTTCAAAACATCAAGTGTACTCCAAATGGGGGAAGATGAACAAGGAAATCATGTTGTTTAACGATTTGTATAACAACATGAAACGTCAATGGAAAAGTGGAGAAAGCGACGAAGTGATTTTGAGGAAAGCGCTGAAAGTGTATCAAAACCTGAAGGCTTTCAAGTTTCTTGAAGTTTGGAATTTTGTGAAAGATAACAAGAAATGGCAAAGTAGCAAAACATCAGACGAGCATATTGACAGTGGTTCAAAACGCAGCAGAACATCTGAGTCCGACCACACTACATCAGATGCTCGTGTTCAATTTGATCTGAACTAAGATGAACCTGTTCCAGTTTTATCACCTTCCCGACCAATAGGAAGAGACAAAGCAAAAAAGCAAAGGCAAATGCAAAGCGTCGGATTCAGATGAGTTAAAAGAAATGGGGGCCGACATGAAGGGTATAAAAGATAGAATGGACAAGATTTTGCAAATTGCTTCTGAAAGAGAGCTTTGGAAACAAAGGGACAGCGACATGCGAATACTTTTGTTGGACACGTCGAATATGACCGGGGCCGAGCTTCAAGTTATTTTGGCGATGAAGGAGGAAGTGAAAAAACGTTACGCAAATCGTGACTAATTTCTAGTTTTTTTTCAAGTTTTTAATCGTTTGGTGTGTTTTTTTTAATAAGTTGTAGGTTTTATTTTTCTAATCTGCTTTTCTAAATTTTTAGGTTTTTTTTAAGTTAAGCAATGTATGGTATTTGTATTTTTAATTAATGAAATATTATCTTTTTAAAATTATGTTTTTTTTATTAAAAAAGAAGTTTTATTAAATTAAAATAGTTAAAAAAAAAAGAGAAAATAAAGTGTGGCACCACTTCCTTGGTGTGGCAAGAAACCACACTTGTGTGGTAAAAAATGACGTGGCGGTGAAGGGAGTGCGGTTTCGGTGGCACCACTCCCTCCAGCCTCAACTGCGAGCCTCTCACAATGTGAGTGCTTCTGATGATTGTTCCTCTTCTACCAATGAAATTCTTGTTACTAGCCGTTGGAACACGATTAAGTTTCAAAATTGACATGGGCAATGACATATTAGCTCACGTGTTAGGTGATTATGGTGATGACATCAGTAAACAATGAATTGTTTAGACTTGAATATTAGGGGAATCAGAGAAGATGTGAAGGTAAATTGGGTTAGAAGATTAAAAACTTCACTAAAAATCAACTTTGTAGGTATCCAAGAAACTTGGATGAATGATCACAGTAGCTTTAACATTAGGGACTCTTGTGCCTCTAATGACTATGATTTTGAAGGTATGGATGCATTTAGAAGATCTAGTGGTCTACTTTGTATATGGAATAGTCAATTATTCAAGAAAGTGGAGGTCGTTAAATCTAGACATTATTTGGTCATTGTTGGTAAATGGATTGACATTGATGGTCATACAATCTTTGCAAACATTTATAGACCACAAGCTGTGTCGGACAAGGGTCGTTTGGTTGGAACTGCTCAATCTCATTCACAATAAACCAAGTGCCTAGATTATCTTTGGAGACTTCAACGTAGTTAGAAGGCAAGACGAAAGACACAACTCTCAATTTTGTCTATGAAGCGCCTTTGACTATAATAAATTCATATTGGGTGGTAAATTGCGTGACTTTAATTTGGTTGGGGGGGGGGGGTTAATGTATTGAAACGTCCCAAAAATATGACCTCAAAATTTCATTTTTAATTTAAATAAAACAATATTCCAAAAACATCATCAATACAATCCAAGTGAAACTAAGTGTATCAGCATCATATCAATCAGAGTAAATCACAAAAGCGAAACTATGTAGTGTGTGCGATGCAGTCATCCCGAGCTCTTCCCCTTGGAACCAGAAGTATCTGAAACATAAACTGAAAACCGTAACCACAAAGATTAATGAGTTCCCCAAACTACCCCATACATAATAAATCACATACTGGGCCCCCTCCCGACATCGAGCCCCGCCCGATATACAGATATGTTATTCTTAGGCCTCGCCTGACATTGGGCCCCGTCCACTATACACATACAATATATATCACATAACCATGCTAACTCATACAATGATCATAAAACAATATCATACGTTTCAGTCATCGGGCCTCGACCGACATCGAGCCCCGCGCAGTATACATAGTAG